TCTATCTATCTATCTATCTATCTATCTATCTATCTATCTATCTATCTATGCCTGCCCCCCTCTCTGTCTATCTAACCTCTCTATCTTACTTATCTGTCTATATCTATCTCACTTATCTATCATCCAACCATGCTAGGAAGTCCTTTAAGTATCATTCCAAGGGCTCCAATCATAATAGATATAACAACAAATTTCTTTTCCCATAAGCATTCAACTTCGATCTGCATGTCTGAATATTTTGTAAGTTTTCCCCCAATTGTTTTTCCTCAGTCCTAGCATGACCCAGAATAGCAACGTCAACGAACCAGGCTTTCTTGACATTAACTGTTCTATCTGGCATGTGATGAACAAAGATGTGTTATTAGTATTATTCGGATCTTGAAAGTCCCATAAGATCTTAACCTGTTTTTTCTCCAAAACCACCTCAACTTGAGGGTCCCAGGAAGTTGTCTTCTTAGCTATATTCAAATTAAAACTTTTGGCAAAGTTTCCAATGAATAATTCTGCAACTTGGTCATGTGGTTGCTTGAGGTTAGTTTGTGAAATTTTGCTGAGCCTCTGATCAAACAGTTAATTGTTTTATCCTTTTCAGTACAAAGGCAACCATTTGCTGTTGTTCGTTTCATGTTGAATTTTCACTTTTTTGCAATTAGTTGGCAAAGTTATTCTTCACATTGTTACGATGGTGCTGGCAGCTGCTCCCCCTCCTCATTGACTCTTTTCCTTTAAGTGGCTTCTTCATTATATTCACACACACACACACACACACACACACCTACCTGCTTGAGACATAGAAGGAGCTCCATAAAATGTTTAGCATATGCTTTGTGTACAATTTCAGAGAAAGTTTTCTCCCTCCTCCCCTTGTCTTCCCTTTCAGGTTTCACTTTCTCATTTAGGGAGCCACCTTTTGTCCTAGGCAGGTTGACAAAACTGCCCAAAGTTTGTATATGTGTGTATGAGAATATATGTGTATATGTACCTATGTGCCTCTATCTGTTCATATGTGTATCATATACGTATAATATATATGTGCATGTGTGTTTCTGTGTGTATGTATTTATGCCAGATAAACACATCATTTTTCATTTGTTTTCTTAAAGGTGATGAAACAAAAAAAGAGTCTTGTTTACTTCTAGGCAGGATCTTAAGATTTTTTTCACTCTGAAAGTTGTTAACTTTTCTATGGATTTCTTATACTTAAAAATAGACAAAGGTTCTGTGGTTTCGTCCTTGTAAAATGTTTATTCTATAGAACAGTGGATTTTGTGTATGTGCATGTCTATACCATAAAAATACTTCTTATAGTACTTGTATTACATCATCAGAGTTCTTGGGTTTGTCTTTTGCAATCAGAAAACAAATACTGAGACCACAATATCATTTAACAGGAAGAGATTTAGAGGGAAATCACGATCATGCCTATCCTGGAATAAAGCCTATTAAGTTCAGTCGTGCTTCATTGTGAGTTAGCCTGCACAAAAGGACAGCTGTGTTGTGGCAGAAGCCTTTGTGGACTAGAATCTGTTTTTGCAACATAAGCCAGGATGGGGTCACTGGTTTGCTCAGGCTGAAACTTCAGACTGAAGTGGTTCATGTCTTAATTTAGTGAGCTTAAATACGTATATGCAAGTCTTATGATCCCATGGAGTCTCTTTGCATAAGTCAAACTGAACCACAAAGTTAGCAGTGAGCTGTAGTTTTCCACACTAAGGGCAAAACTTTGGTTAATAGTTCTTTGGGAAGAAACTAGAGTTTTTTATCTGTTATTTTGTCTTTTTAGAAATCATTGTTTTCTGTGTATAGTAATGATTATTTTTCACCATAGAACAGTCTTGAAAGGTGCACTGTATCTCAGTTGTTACTTGTTGACACTTATTTGTTCATAGCATTTCTATGCTGTCAACTTCGTGCAGATTCTGGGTGGCTTGCAATTGTATAAAACCTGTAAAATTTTATGGAAGTAAAATAACCACTCAAAACAAAACAAACCTTGCTCTCAGAATGACTTCTACTTTCCTCTTACATGATTGGATCATTTAGATAGTTGTGCTTGACATGGAGGGAAAAACAACTTTTTTTAACCATTCTTTTGCCTCCCAGGCTCATAATTGAACCCTTGTTTCAATTCCTATATTGATCTTTGGTTCAAACATTACACCCTAAGGTTATTTCTTTTAATGAAATTTGGAAGCTGGCTGTTTGTTGCAGCTATTCATTATTGATGTTTTAAGTCTACGTACCTCCTAGGCTTTCAAAAAGTAACACTACCCTTTCCTTGAAAAGTCTTCCATTCTCAATTATGCCTTTTCTTTCTTTTTATTCCTGTTCCCAAGATTGAGGAGATGCTTTTATTTGTTCTCATACTTAAGAAAAGAACCATTGCTTTTGTGAAATGCTGCTGTATAATAATGTGTTATTGGTAGTTCTACTTAAACTGAAAGATAAATCAAAGTGACTTGTAGAGTTTATTTTAGGTAATGATCAAGCGTCTCAACTCCAATGATTACAGATGTGATTCTTCTTTTGCATCTTGACTTCTATTGATAAATAAACTATGAAGTACACTGATGACTTTCCAATTGCTTAATAGCTTTACAAATTTCTTTGTCTAATCTTATTTACCTTGATTTTTATTTGGAAGCATATCTTCCTTAAGAGATTATTCTGACATGCTGCCACTCAGATATTTCCATAAATATCCATGATACCATATTTGCCAAAAATGTGTTATTCTAAGTACTATCTAAATATGTATTTTGGTGATTTTTCTCTATAGTCAGATTGTGAGATTACAAAACTCTTGTCTTACCTTTATTTTTTCAAGAAACTTAAAAAATGTTTCGATTACTAAAAGGAAAAAAAAGCTCTTATTTGTGAGAACAGCTGTCCACTCAGTTCAAGATATTAATAAGGATTGCAAAGATGAAAGCTAAATGGTCAGTTTTGTGGTGGCGATGGTGTGATGATGACTCTATTAGTCAGTCAATTTTATTGTGCAGAGAAATTCTTCAGCATGACCTTTATAGCTGTCTAAACATGTTCTCATTCTTGCCAGCTGGATGTTGTCATAGGTCTATAAAAATTAGTGATGATGCTTGCTTTCAAAAGTGTCTTGTTTTCCTGTCCTTTTACTATGGTATCCTTTAGCCTCTAATAATGTTTTCCTTTATTTTTATGCTTCAGGTCATCTATTCTGGATTTAGCTCAGGACATGGATGAAGAAAATTAAGTCAGTATTGGAACTGGAACTTAAAAAACAAAAAACCTTCTCATTCACAGTTATGCTGCCTGTCTAGGTTTCTTTGGAAGACTCATCTTTTTCATCTTTTTACAAAGCTTGAAGCACAATGACTTCGGGTTTGTGGAGTCAAGAGAAAGCGAGCTCTCCATATTGGGAAGAGCGTATATTTTACTTGCTTCTCCAGGAATGTAGCATTATAGACAAGCAGACTCAAAAGCTATTAAAAATACCCAAAGGTAGTATCGGTCAGTTTATTCAAGACAGGTCTTCCGGTGGTGGGCACATCAGGAACAACCCTTCATCCAAAAACAAGAAGCTACAAATAGGAATCAAGATTTTGGAACAGCCCCATGTGGTCCTGTACGTCGACGAGAAAGAGATCGTTGATATAGAGGAAAAAAGAGCCGAGCTGCTATTGGCAATCACCAATTGTGAGGAAAGATACAGTATATTTAAAAGCAGAAGCAGGCTACGTAAGGGCCTCCACATCGATGTTGGTTCCCCGGTGAAAGTGCAGCTGAGGTCAGGAGAAGAGAAATACCCTGGCATTGTTCGCTTTAGAGGACCCTTAATACAAGAGAGATCCCTGTCGGGTATATTTTTCGGAGTGGAGCTTCTGGTAAGGATTGTCTTTTTTTTTTTAATGTAGATTGGTGAAACGTACTTTCTGGTATCACTGAGCGTGCATTCTAAAAACCCGTAAAGTGTTAGGTTTGATTCGTTTATTACATTTGTATCCCTGTCTTCCTTTTAGGATGGAAGGATTGTGTGGGATGGTTCTCCATGCAATTTTATCCTTGCAACGTAGCTGAAGGAGGTTGCGTTGAGAGAATGTCTGCGTGCCAGACACGAGTTGCTTTTATGATAAATATCTCTGCATAAATTTCAATTTCTCCTTTGCTGGATTTTCCTGCAGTTTGTTAAGCTAAAAAAATAAGCAGATTCTATAGTGGTTCAGCATATTGCATGGAACAGGCCTCCCTAATCCAAGGTCTTCCCGTGAGTTGCAATTTCTATGAAGGTTATAAAACTTGGGGCCTTCCTCAGCTCAACCTTTGGCCGAACTTCACAATTCATTTTCCTTTTCCTTTTGTAAATACAGGAAGAAGGTCGTGGTCAGGGCTTTACTGATGGACAGTACCAAGGCAAACAGCTGTTCAGATGTGATGAGGACTGTGGAGTGTTTGTTGCACTAGACAAACTAGAACTGATGGACGATGATGACAATGAACTGGAGAATGACTATGCAGCTCCAGTTGACTCAATGCAGGTAGAACTTCCTCCTTTGGAGCTCAACTCCAGGGTTTCTGTGAAGATAGGGAAGAATATAGAGTATGGGACAGTTATATTCTGTGATGTCATACCAGGAAACGAGAGTTTAGGATACGTTGTTGGAGTGGACATGGTAAGAAATTAAGATTTTTATGATTTTTTGCATGTGTGTTTAAAATAGTACATGCAATATTGCTGGTGGGTGGAATCCTTGAAAGCGACTTATGGCAGTTGTTGCCATGTGTAAATCACTCTAGTATATTTTTTAGTTATCAGATAAAATGTATGTTAACTTGCTTTGGGGGGGGATAAATCATGCTTCTTGGATTACAGTATAGCAACAGAGAATCTCCTCTAGGGCATTTGAATCTTACAGTACATTATTACTTTGTTGGACAGCAAACAATGAACAAGATTACAGGCTTTACTTTATGTTCAAAAATGACTTGCCAAGTTAAAAAAGAAAATCTTGTCCTTGATTCTAATGATAAGCATGTTTTATTGAACTCCGTTCTTTTCTGAGAAAAATGGTGACAGGTGTCGGATTTAGCCTCTTGAAGGAATATAAAAAGACTCTTTGGTATGAATTTGAATTCCACCTCTTAATTTGTAATGCTCAGGAGCACTTCAGTAATACTTGCTGTTCCTCACTTTCCTGAAGTTTGTTTCTATAATTGGAAAATGTACAATAGCTTTCCAGTAAAAATATTGAAATCAAATGTTCTACTTCAGAAAATATCCTTAAGTATTTGATGTAGCAAAACGCCGTTTGCACATTGAACATAATGGGTTATACTTGCATAGGCTCACTTGGTTCCACTTAGAACTATGAAAGATCAAAACAGTTACCTTTCTCGTCAGCCTTTCTATTTTCTCAGTAACCATTGAGAATAGCTGCATTTGTGTAACTTCACAAATTGCTTACAAATTGGGCTTTGTACTTCAGTAATTGGGAGGTTTTTTTTCTTAATTGTGACATATGATTAGTAGACGAATCCTTTGTGTTTTTGTCTGAGAGGTGGGTTGCCAGCATTACAAGAATCTATCTTTTTTCATGATGGCTTGTGCTTTCAACCTTAGCTTTGCATAGCTTTTGCAAATTTTTAGTAACATAACATCCTGGTTTTGAATGCATTCAGCTGTTCTTTTGAGCTATAAGGAATAAACATATTATAAAATGCTTTTTAGGACAATCCAATTGGAAATTGGGATGGAAGATACAATGGACAGCAGCTCTGTAGTTTTGCAAGTGTTGAAAGCACACTTCTTTTGCATATCAATGATGTTATCCCAGGTAATATTTTATTTTGATTTTGAGAAGAGTCTCCAGATTTTAGCAGGTTGACTAATGTCTGGTTGTAGCTTTATATTTGGCCTTTGCGGTTCATTCTTAAAGTAGATATTTCTGTATCTACTATATTACTGGGCATTGTTTTTTCTTGGTAATTTTTTAATTCTGGAAATGTTTTCGGAATTTTTAAAATGTCGTGTATTTTTCCCCCTAAACTCATTAAGAGATGCTGCTACAATGCACTACAGGTAGTCCGTGACTTACGATAACAATTGAACCCAAGATTTATGTTCCTAAAGTGAGACCGATGTTAAGTGAGTTTTGCCCCTTTTTACAACTTTTCTTGCCACAGTTATTAAGTGATCACTGCAGATGCCAAGTTAGTATCATGGTTGTTAAGTGAATCCATTGACTTTGCTTGTCAGTGTGGCACAAAAGGTGGATCACAAGACCCTGGGACACTGCAGCCATCATAAATAAATATGAGTCAGTTGCCAAGCATCTGAATTTTGATCCTGTAACTATAGCGATGCTGCAACGGTTAGTGAAAAACCGTCAATTTTTCCCAGTGCCGTTGTAACTTTGAAGAGTCAGTAAAAGGAACTGTTGTAAGGCAAATGTATTGGTCTTAATGGAATGCTGGCCTTCTCGACTATTTCCAGATGATAAAGCTTGAGGACTGAAAGTCCCATTATCTGGCAGTGAATTTTCTACTTGAGAAATTGTCTTTGTTTAGTAGGTTATTGTGTGGGTTAGGGAACTGGAACAGTGTTGAATAGAAATGATGCGGCTGCAGTTCACATTCGTGAATAATTATGCATAATGATTTAAAGGCTAGTTAAGAACACTTAAAAACCTGAAAGAAATGATGCATAAGGTCTCACCAGGTGATTCTAATTTTTGTACAGCATTTGTGTACTGGATTATGGTATTGTTACACTTTATTTAAAAGGAATATGTTCAAAAGATGCCCACATATGCTCTGATAAAAGAGCTGGTGTTTGTGCGAAGAGCTCGGAACCACAGGCAATCTGTTCTTTTCTCCATATTATTAGAGTGCCAGTTTTTCTATTCACAAAGCTTTAATAATACTGTAAACCGCATGCATGAGTCAACTGCTTTGCACTGGAGGAATATAGTGACTTGAATAGGATCTACTGAGATTAGCTGATTTGCTTAGAAAGAAACCATAGAATCTAAGTTACTAGACGGCCCTTTCCTGGTTTTTCAAACTTGACATTAGTGATGAAACTATTTACTTGGCTGCTTTGCCAAGGAAATTAAAACATGTGAGCAATCTTTGGAACCGCAGATCATATATTTCTAGGGAAAGGACAGCTGGATTAGGAGACTTACCTTTGGCTTGCTCAGGACAAAAACAGAAGCTTTGTAGGTGTAAAGGGAACCTAAGGTTTCACTGGTTGAATTTGAGACAGATGAGATGCAGATAGGAGTAAGAAAACATTAGAATTGCTCAGCTGGATTAGTATAAAGGTTTATTAGTCTGACAGACTGTTCCAACAATGGCCATCTGAGAAAGTCCTTATTTAATCATTAAGTTGTTTTTTTTTAAACAAACTTCCAAATTGTTCCTAAAGAATGGCAATTTATGTTATAGTTCCATTATGACAGGTATTATAATTGAGGTATCATGTTACAGTTTGGCTTATCTTTCTGTGTAAAATCTTATACATCAGGACTTTCAGGCCTCCTGAGGAAGGTCTAATAATGCATCTCCTGTTTTTGATTAACGTTTTGAAACTAATACATTACATTTGTTCTATAGTGTGCTCTTATACTTTGTGAAATATCTAAACTCTGCTCTGTTTTAGAGGCTGTGTGTCAGGACAGGAGACCTCCCAAACTTGCTTATGCTTCCAGAGGTGGTGGTGACAAAGGTTTTGGTCATAGCAAGCCAAAGTCTACAGGTACATCACTCAACATTTTAGTGAAACTTAGTGTTGTTTCTTAAATGAGGATTGCCACGTGCAATCCCCTCATGTTGCTATTTAAAGACAAGTGTGACTACTAAAACAGTCTCTCCATCAATATCAGTGAAGATATTTAATGTGTACTTTACTGTATTCCTTATAAAGGTTTGACCATATCAGCATTTTTAATTGGTATCCATATAAATGGAAAAATAAATGTGTTATTACACCAATTATGATTGGAGCCCTTGGAGTGATACTTAAAGGACTTCCTAGGATGGTTGGATGAAAGATAAGTGAGATGGATATAGACAGACAGATAGGTAAGAGAGAGAGGTAAGAGAGAAAGGATAGATAGATAGGAATGGAAATGGATATATTCATTTTCCCCTGAACCGTCTGGATTCACTGCTTGAATTTTCTGTGCTTCAGATGAAACACAAGGAGCGAAATCGCTCCTTACTTGCAAATGTCATCTATAAAATAGCAAGAAAAGGGGTTTACGTCGAAGGGTTAGATGTATTGCAAAAGGATGTCCAAATTTCAGCAGGAATCATGAGAACTTTTGCATAGGTGCATATTTCTAGGATTATCCCAAGGTCCTGCAACACACTTATGTAAAGCCACTTGTGAAGAAAGTTTGGTTGCACCATTCCTAACCCGCTGATCTTTCCAGTCTGTGAACAAGACTGGACATAGGCAGTTTCTGCCTTGCATATTAATATTACAATGACTACAGTTAAACAGTCCATATCTCAGTCATTTAAAGTGTTGATTATGATGTATGAGTCAAGAGTTTTTGGGATTTGGCGGCATGCAATTTTAAATCACCGATGTTCATTCCTTCTAAAATATTAAGTCTGAAATCCGTGATCCGTATATGGTATTAATCTTACAGATATTATTGAGAAAACAGTTTCATTAAGCTGAAACAGAATTGTTACCTGATGTAGCTTTGCTTTCTAAAAGGTACTATGTGTATAGCTGGAGATGTAAGCTGAGAACAGAGCTGTTCTTTAAAGGGTTGGGAGTATGAAATCATGCAGTATTGTAGTGATTGGACCAGATAACCTGCAGTTGTGTTTCTTCCATTAAAGTCATGCAGTTCTGAAGCAGTTTTACAGACTTTCCAAAGAACATCAAAGCTTACTTGTATATATTCTTCCCTTCTGACATGGCCTGTTTTTCAGGTGCACTGTCTGATCCTGGAAACAGAAACAGAACAGAATTTTTCTACGCTTTAAATGGCTCCTCAGTTGATTCTCAAGCACAGCCAAAATCAAAAAATACATGGTATATTGATGAAGGTAACAAACTGGATTTTGATCACAGATGTAGTAACAAAATATGAACTGTAATGATGCAGAGAATTCTGACAACTGTATTGAGTTATATTTTTGGAAGCACTTTGATGCATCTTTTTTCTCCGCAAACTGCAGCTTTCCTTGTATTGCTGCTTTGAGTCAAGATGAGCATAGTCCATCATCCACTACCCCAGAGGAATTATTTTACACACTCATTTGATCCAGCAACTTATCACAAACAGCTTTTGAAAGTTGCCCTTGACTTTTTTTTTTTTTTAGCAATTCCTTGTGGTAGCAGCAGTCGCATGGCTTTAAGAGGGTGGGGAAAACCCAAATCTCTTTTGGTTAACTCCCATTCCTTAGTTCATGGCTGTAGTTTGTCAGATAACTGAAGACTTTTTCTTTGGCCCAGGTTTTATGGTAATTTCTTAGTCGTGGTAGAAAATAACCCAACATTACATGACAGCTTGATCTTACACTCTTTATTAAACCAGTTGGGTTTCAGGCAGAGTGTGCAAGAGGCTTATAAATAGTAATGTGCTATTATACCAGCTTCTGACCTCATGCACTGTGCTTTGACTCATGATTTATTTATGTGTCTTCAGGAGACAAGTTGGTGAATGTGTCCTTTAGGGCCTCTCTGCTACTGATTGTGATACTCTGCTACTGATTAGGGCCTCACTGATACTGATACTGATACGAATTCACAAGAGGTGTAGATTTCATTTTTGCTTCCCAGTAAATCATGGCTCCCAGATTACTAAGATCTAGAGTACTGTTTCTCAGCAACTGTGTGGTACCTAGATTCCAACTCCCAGAATTCCTTCGCCTGCACAATCTAAAATAGCAGTTTTCAGAAAATAGCTTAAAGTTGACCAATAAGCCTCATATGATTAAATAGCGGACACAAAATACACAATAACTCTTGAATATTAAATTCAAGAGTCCTTAAGTGTTGAACAAGATGGAATTGTTGCTTCAAAGGTTTCTATGTTCAAGGTTTTTTTGTTGTTGTTACATCAACTTTTCTGCTATGCCAGCTGCCATAGACTGTAGGAGTCTGAGAAAACTTGAGAGACAATACCCAATTTATTTGGAGCATATACCAAACTCACATGATATTCTGTATGAATTTGGAATGAGTCCAGGATCCCAGTTTCTTCCACCCAAGTTTGGAATTGCTGTGAACTATCTGTCACCTGCTGCAATGTATCACTAAGAAACTTTGTAATAATTATTTACAAAATTTTATTCAGTTTGCTGATTGGTATAGCAGAAGCTCAGATTCTTGGTTATAGTCCTTGATTATAGTATTAGTAAAATCTACCTGTTATCTCATTGTGCTTAGCAAGTGCCAGTAAACTGTTTTTAAGCAATTTATTCTTCCATGATAGAATCTAGTCAGAGAGAGAGAGAGAGAGATTCCAGCACGTTTTACTCATTTTTATGAAAAGCACATCACATCCGTTTGGGTGCCTTAATATAAGTTGTAATTTGTAATCTGTGCCGATTTCTTTGCTTGCCTCCAATTCTAACAGTGGCTGAAGATTCTGCAAAATCACTCAATGACTCCTCTTCTGGGTTTGGAAATTCTTCCCCACCGCTGCAGCCTGCCCCGTCGAATAGTTTATCTTCTGAAAACAGATTCCATTCCCTGCCTTTCAGCCTCACCAAGATGTCAAGCACCACCAACAGTTCTATATCACACAGCCCGCTCTCCTTATCGGTTCAATCGGTTATTGGAGAAGGGACCTCTGGGCCAATCCAGGAGAGCCCACCAGCCACCACAGCCCCCATCAACATGCATGGCCTCGAAGCTGGCTCTTTAGCAGAAGTGAAAGAGAACCCTCCCTTCTACGGAGTAATCCGTTGGATCGGCCAGCCGCCAGGGGTCAATGAAGTGTTAGCCGGGCTTGAGCTGGTAATTACCGTCAGATTTGAGAACCCATGGGCAGTTCCTGCCCACCTCTTACCCTGCAGGGTCTTTTCGTTATCGCCTTTCTCTTAAATTTCCTGGCTACAGCTTGATTCTGACGTCAGGCCAGAGGCAAACTTACCGCCAGGCTGAAGCCAGCTCACAATTTTGATGTACGGATAGTCTTCGAGTTACGACTGTAATTTTGTCTGCAATTACGGTTGTAAATCATGATGGTCATAACATAGGTCTCCATCAGACCCGATTTTAATGATCCTTTTTTGCGGCCATTGTTAAGTAAACCCATTGTTTCCTGTGGGGCAAATTTTTACTGGAAACCGGAAGTAAACACTGGTTTCCGGCAAAAGTGTCTGAAATTGTGGGTCATGTGACCGCAGGCAAACAGCCATAAATGCAGGCCAGTTGCCAAGGGCCCAAAATGTCATATGATTGTGTGTGTGTGTGTGTGTGTGTCTGGACTTTGGAACTTCAAAACCGAGTCATAAGTCCCATTTGGGTGCATTGTAATTCTGCACAGTCACTGAATGACTGGTTGTAAGTCAAGAACCAGTGCTTCTATGACCCGTTGTGCTAAGTGGGGAGGGACAGATGTAAAAAGAGACACTACATCAAAGGAGACCATGATCTCTTCAGGAGCCACATTTAATCTTTGTAGTTTTGTCAGAATTTGTGGGGATGATGTGACTGTGCTGTTCAAGGGTTGGTTGGGAAGCGTAAGCGTTGTGACCGCCATTTAGCCAGGTTTTTACGGAGAGGTTTCTCGCATCGCTACAAGTTTCTATAGGTGTATAGCACTGACAGAGAAGTGCAGATTTCTTATTTGTTTTTATTCAGGAAGATGAATGTGCAGGTTGCACCGATGGGACTTTTAAAGGAACCCGTTACTTTACCTGCGCACCAAAGAAAGCTCTTTTTGTCAAGCTGAAAAGCTGTCGACCTGACTCCAGATTTGCTTCACTGCAGCCGGTGTCCAATCAGATCGAACGTTGCAATTCCTTAGGTATCGTCCACCTTTCTCTCTCTCTCTCTCTCTCTCTCCAGCTTTGCTTTAATTCCGAATTGGGGGTCGGGGGGGAACCACATTTCTAATGATCAAGGAAGGTGTCTGTGTGTGTGTGTTTGTGCGTGTGCGTGTGCGTGCACATTTGTGAGAAATAAGTGCCTGTACATGTTTCCGTCAAAACAATGTTGGTCACGAGAATGGAGAAGTGGGTGGCCTCTGTGACTTTGCTGGACTACGTAATGGGCTTTTGATATTTCCATTGTGCTTGTTGCTAATGTGGGATTATGAAAGAGAACAGATGTAGCTTTAATTTCCCGACTTGTTTTGCAGCCTTTGGAGGCTATCTCAGTGAAGTGGTCGAAGAAAACACTCCTCCAAAAATGGAAAAAGAAGGATTAGAAACAATGATCGGAAAGAAAAAGGGGATCCAGGGTCATTATAACTCCTGCTACTTAGATTCCACCTTATTCTGGTAAATAAATAAAAAAAACTGCGTTTCAAGCCTGAGATGAAGAAAACACATGATATGCCTTTTTAAAAATTCAACGAAGTTACATGAATCTAATGGCATGCACATGATATTTTTGTGACCTGATGTTATCTCTTGACTGTGGGGATCCTGTGATAGTCATACATGTGAGGACTACAAAGTTTTTCAGTGCCTTCGTAACTTTGAATCGTCATTAAACAGAGTAGTCCTTAAGTGAGGAATACTGTATATATTAGGGATTTCTTTTAACCTTGTAAGTTGCTCAGAGTTTAGTTTACACTCTGGGAAAGGCATCATGTTTAAGACACAGAATCAAAATTAATAACTACTTCTTGTCCTGGATTTTTTTCCATTTAAGTGTTTCTTTCTCTGCTGATTGAGCCTTTGGTATTTGATATGGCTCTCATTCTCTTTTCTAAGGCAAAATTTGTATTATAAGGTGAGATTAGTTGCTGGTAAGGTTCAGATTATGTAAATGCTGTTTCTGGAAACAGGTATTTGTCAGAATCTCACAGAATCCGTTAAAAGCATCTCTCTCTGCGATAGATTTTGGGACACTTCCTGACCGGAAGGTGATGTTTTTACCCCTCTCTCCTTTCCAGTTTGAAACTTATTTTTCCCCCCTGCTCTTTCAGCCTGTTTGCATTCAGTTCTGTCCTGGATACAGTCTTGCTCCGGCCCAAAGAGAAGAATGATGTAGAATATTATAGCGAAACTCAAGAATTGCTACGGACAGAGATCGTAAATCCTCTTCGAATGTAAGTACATACGAGCTTCCTGTAAAAACATGCCAGCTTCGGTGGGGAATGTCAAAAGCTTCTTCCACAAACAGGAAGAAGATGTTTGAAATGGTTTCTGGAAGGTGGAACAAGAAGCTTGAAAACCCCTTTAGTCGACCACTTCAGGCCCCTCTACAATTTTTATATGGTTTTTACCTCTTTTTGCTTGTTTCCTCCTTTTGGTTTGTGGGCAGCAGTTCAAATGGTTGTAGATAATATCGTAGACCATGTTGCCTCTTTAGATTCTGCCTCTTGGGGGCTCGGTATGCCTTTTCAGACTTTCCATCTTTTACTTTCTAGATATGGATATGTGTGTGCCACAAAAATAATGAAGCTGAGAAAGATCCTGGAAAAAGTTGAAGCAGCATCAGGATTCACGTCTGAAGAAAAAGGTAAGTTCATTCTGTAATATTGTTAATGAGGAAGAACTGAAAGGAAGTTTCATGTTATTAAACCAGAAGTCTAGATAAGATCTTACCACCACCATAATAAACTCCCTTATGTTCATTTGGTAGCCTGTCCTTTTTTTAAAAGACTGTGCTTAAAATAACAAATTAATGAAATTCTACATCTGTGGATTCTTAAAATGATTAAAGACAAGTGTCAGATCATCCCCAAATCTAGAAAATATTGGTTTCCCAGTTACGTATGGTTAAGAGTTCACATTTTTAATTGCTATTAAAACCAAGTTTTGAGGCTTGGTTTCTGGCAGGTTTTGTAACTTTGTATTTTTGCTATTATTTTTTAGTTGCCTGTGCTTTGATAGCCTGATGAAACACTCTCTTTTTTTTTCAGATCCAGAAGAATTTTTGAATATTTTGTTCCATCATATTTTAAGAGTAGAACCACTCTTAAAAATAAGGTAAACACAATCTTTGGCTCACACAAGAAAATTTTTAAAGTGACAAAGAGTTATTTGTCATTTGTTATTTGTTATCTATAATTTACAATCTTGAGGATAATTTCCAACAAAAAGTTATGGCTGGGAATACCCTTCAAGCATCTCCATTACTTTTATTTGTGTTTAGTTTTGTAAACTGTGAACATTTAGCTATGCCTTTATCTTGAGAACTTGGGCATATTTCAAAAGCTCTTATTGCTGCCTGGTCTCACTTACTTAACTTCACTGGTAAATAAATGACAGTTATGTCTCAACATTGTATCTGCTATAATAGCATCAGGTGTGGAAAACTTGCGGTCAGCTCAGTATTGCTAAATTACAACTTGCAGCACTTACCTATAGACTCAGTCTATATATATAAATATAAATTTAATAGTTCACAGACTGGTACATATCACTTTTGAAATAATCTCTTAATCAATTTAGGGAATAATTTATTTCAGGATCAAATCGGGGTCGGTCACTGGGACCAAAAATCTAGTCTTCCGACCTCTTAGACTCACGTTGGAATTTTTCTCCAGCAGTGTGTGTAATTTGTTATAAATATATGAATAAATAATAATGTATTCTTATATTTATAACTAAAGGTTTGGAAAGGATCTTAAAATCCTAAGTCATCTGGTTTCTTTCCAGATGCAGGAATCTATTACTACAGGATTCTGCTGTAACCTTGAAGACAAATCTGGTTGCAATAGTAGTAGATTGTACTTTTTAAAATCAATATTAAGTGTCCCCGTTGTCAAATACACTTGTATCTCTCTTCTTAGATCGGCAGGGCAAAAAGTTCAGGACTGCTATTTCTATCAGATTTTTATGGACAAGAATGAGAAAGTTGGAGTGCCTACCATACAGCAGTTACTGGAATGGTCTTTCATCAACAGCAATTTGAAATTTGCAGAGGTTTGCAGAAAGATTCCTCTTTTTATAGTTTTACCAATCGGTGCACATTTTGCTGGCTGGTGTTGATCAGCTTGCGAGAAGCTGAAGCATGCAAGTGTCTCCACAGTAGTTCAATAAATTCTTAATTGATTAGGAAGTGATTCTTCATTATGATGAATGGGGGATTTGCTTCTTCAGTAGATATCAGAAGAACTTCTTGACGCTTTGCTTGAGCTATTTGTGCAAATGATTTATTAATTAAAGCATAGGTGGGGAACTCAACGTATCCAGATGTTCCTCAGTTTAAATTCACTGCTGCCTTGTGTGACTGGCCAGTGGAAAAGGGATTCTGGGAGTTCTAGTTCAGCATCACCTTGAGGCCCATTAGTTTCCTTCTTGCTTTAGATCAGGGTGTCAAACCTTGGCAACTTTAAGACCACTGGACTTCAACATCCCGAGGCTGTGGAATTCTGGGAGTTGAAGACCACAAGTCTTAAAAGTGGCCAAGTTGGACACCCTTGCTTTAGATTAAGTCAAAGATAGGACTAATCCGTATGACTGATTATATGTATACCAAACCTTAAGACAAGGGTCTTCAAACTTGGCAAGTTTAAGACTTGTGGGCTTCAACTCCCGGAATTCCTGAGCTAACATGACTGGAGGAGGAATTCTGGGAGTTAAAGTCCACAAGTCTTAAAGCTGTCAAGTTTGAAGAGCTCTGCCTTAAGGTTTTTATGGTTCCTTGCTTTTGAGAAAGTTATTTTTAAACTTTACATTAGGGGCATCAGGATGTAGTAAACAAACAGAGAGAATGAAGTCTCTTAGATAAAATATATATTCTTTTTCTGCTGCATTTTACTAGGCCCCATCATGTCTGATAATTCAGATGCCTCGATTTGGCAAGGACTTCAAAATGTTCAACAAAATTTTCCCTTCTCTGGAACTGAATATCACAGACCTGCTGGAAGACAGTGAGTTTAATTATGCCTCATGATAGTGCAATAAGACTGAATTTCAGTTGAAATGAATTCCACGACATTTGATGAACCTGGATACCTTCAACAATAAAATGAATCACCTGCAAAATAATGCAAAATGGAATTGCTGTGCACCATAAAAATCTTTTTTCAATGGAGATACACAAGTAGAATCAGGATCTGAAATCTTCATTGCAGACTTTAGCAGAGCCATAACAATAGTTGATTTCCAAACTGCTCCAGTTTTGTTCATAACAAGTTAAATAAATAAGTTCTAACTGCCATTAGGAAATAAAGAATACAGATATCCTAGCTCTTTAGGAAATAATCTTTTACTAGCCTGTCTGCTGGCTATTTTATTCTGTTAGGATTTTGATGTAATGTGTTTAAGTTGCACGCCCACTGTATCAACGCAGAACGAACAAGAATTAATTTTTCCAACAATTCCTGGAGAAATTGTGAGGGTTTTTTCCTCCCATTTCCCCTCTTGTTTTCACCTGTTCCTTCCTATCTGCCACACCTGTTCAATTCTCAATAGAAAAATCTAGAAGAACACAAAACTTCCAAATATGACAGGGCACATTCTTTAAATTAGTAGTAGTATCTGTGCATGAATAGAGTGGGCTAATTTTCTTTTACTCAAATGTTTGATTTTCTATTTTAAAAAGAAATTGTAGGTGTGGATTCTGTTTATACAGAATGGTAGCATCCAGCACAATGGGTATTTTTCCTCTTGTAAAATGCAGCTCCGAGACAGTGTCGTATCTGCGGAGGACTTGCAGTGTACGAATGTCGGGAATGTTACGAAGATTCAGACATTTCCTCTGGTAAAATCAAGCAGTTTTGCAAAACTTGCAATACGCAGGTAAGTTGTTGTTTTTTTCTTTCTTTCTTTCCGAAATGACCTAAGAATTAGTTTTTGACGTTGCTGTCTTGTGTGAGAACTGGGTTCTTTCAGAAAGAGGCAAGAATGTAATTCCCTTTGCTAAATGTTTCTTCCCTCCATCTCACAATAGGTTCATCTTCACCCCAAAAGGCAGAGTCATAAATTCAACCCAGTGTCGCTTCCGAAAGATTTACCGGACTGGGATTGGAGGCACAGCTGCATACCTTGTCAGAAGATGGAGCTCTTTGCCGTTCTTTGTATAGAGACAAGCCACTATGTGGCTTTTGTTAAATACGGCAAGGAAGATTCGTCTTGGCTCTTTTTTGATAGCATGGCTGATCGGGATGGTATGTTTTCTCTTTTGTGAACTCTCGACTGTTAGCCTTGGCCTTAAATTAACAAACGTTTTAGTATTTAACATGGGTCATGAGACTCCTCGTGTCATGGTTCAAACCACATTCCTCAGTCTTTCAACCATGGCGTACACTTTTGTCAACGTTCCCCAGATTGTAGGGCACCTTGTTGAGAAAAGCTAGGTTGTTGCTGTAGGCCAGGGGTCTGCAACCTTAAACACTCAAAGAGCCATTTGGACCCATTTCTCACAGGAAAACAAAACACCGGGAGCCCCGAGACTTCGGTGGGCGTGGCCAACTCAACATCACTCCCACCCAGTCACATGACGCCACCACCACCACGCCTACCCAGGTTTTGTGGCTCTCGGTGTTTTCTGTGGCAAATGGGCCTCTCCTTCCTTCCCTCCCATTTCTGTCTTTTGTGTTTTACCTTCTCAGGCCAAGCAAGGATTGACTGGGAGTTGAGGGCAAGGGGAGGGGCCAGCCAGTGGTGGGATCACCCAACAGGGAGCCAGAGCAAAGGGCCCAAAGAGCCTCATGTGGCTCCAGAGCCGTGGGCTGCTGACTCCCACTGTAGGCTAAGGCCGGGGAGATTAAAAAAAATTAAATCTCTGCTTATGTTTGATAATTCCAAAAATTACCAGCACATCCAAGATGAATTTGGATGGTGGCAAGATATGGAAAATTGAAAGAGACAATATAATAGAATAACAGAATTAGAAAGAACTTTGGAGGTCTTCTAGTCCAACTCCCTCCTCAAGCAGGAAACCCTAAACCATCTCAGACAAATGGTTGTCTAGTCTCTTCTTAAAAACCTGCAGTATTGGTGCACCCACAATTTCTGGAGGCAAGTAGTTCCACTGGTTAATTGTTCTCACTGTCAGGAAGTTTCTCCTTAGTTCTAGTTCTTAGTTCTCCATGATTAGCTCCAATCCATTTCTTCTTGTTCTGCCTTCCAGGTGCTTTGGAGAACAGGTTGGCCTCCTTTGTGGCAGCCCCTCCAATATTGGAACACTGCTAACATATCACCCCCAATCCTTGCCCCCCCCCCCCCCGTTAAAATAGACAAACCTGGTTCCTTCAACCGTTCTTCACATTTTAGCCTCCAGTCCCTTAATAACCTTCGTTGCTCTTCTCTGCACTCTTTCTTTTTTGTGGAACTCATGTGATTGATTCTGAACTGGATAATTTTGGACACAGGTTGGAGATTTCAGTTGGCATGAAGTAGAATGCTTCTCAGCTGGGATTACATCATCTCCCAAAGGTGCATTTTTTCAAGAAGCAACTGGACTTTCTGGTTTTTCTTTGAAGATGTTTTGCTTCTCATCCAAGAAGCTTCTTCAGCTCTGAAGAAGCTGAAAAATTCTTGGATGAGAAGCGAAACGTCTTCAAAGAAAAACCAGAAAGTCCAGTTGCTTCCTGAAAAAAGCATTTTTGGGACAGCCATGACCTGGATGAACTGAGAATCTCCATAAGACGCGTCTTCATCTCAAAACCATCTAGTTTGGACTGTCTTATTGTCCTGCTGGAATAATCCCATGTCTTCTCTTCTCTTCCAAGGAGGTCAAAATGGTTTTAACATCCCTCAAGTGACTCCCTGCCCAGAAGTTGGCGAATATCTGAAAATGTCTCTCGATGAATTGCACTCTCTGGACTCAAGGAGAATCCAAGGCTGTGCACGAAGGCTCCTTTGCGATGCTTACATGTGCATGTATCAGAGCCCTACGATGAGTTTGTACAAGTAGACCTGGAGGATTCTCGTGAGGAAGGATAGCGGACTGTGGCCCAAGAAAGCTCAACGGAGCTGTCGGCTTCTCAGCTTGCGCATCTGTTGCTGGCAACGGATGCTTCGAAGGGTATGGAAATCAAAGAACTAGAAAGAAGAAGCAGCTATTTTAACAGGAAGGGGGAAAACGGAACCATTCTACAGTGCAGTGTTGTGTTGCTAAAACACTCAAGTGTTTTTGCTCTTGGACATGTGCGCGTGTGTATGTGTGTGTGTGTGTGTTGTTTTTTTAAAAAAATAAAAAAAAGTCTAAATGAAGCGATTGTAATGTTTAGGTTGTGTTTCAGAAAAAACTGTTTACATAGACCGAAGATTACATCCCCTCTGGAGCCTTCTGCTGATTCTTCTGATCCTGCACAGCCTAAAGAACGAGGACTATATTTTGGGTGTTGTATGTTTCCCAGCGTTGTATCCATTGTGTCTGTAAGACAAGCCTTAGGACCTTGGCATCAAGGGTTTTTTGCTTCTTATTTTGACCTGGAATAAGCTAAATCACGAATCCCAAAACATCTCTAGCGCATTGAGTTGAGTGTATCAATGCAGATATATCTGATCAGTTCCTTGTCACCCTGGACCAAGAATGCACATTGTTTTCTTCGTAGCAAACGGGTTCCTCCCAGGAAAAGGAAGAGTAATGATCCTGCAACCTTGCAGCGGTACTCGGAAGGAGCTCCAGAAGTGGCCTCCCTTGGCAAGATTGTCCTCCCTTCCACAACTTCTTCCTAAGTCCTGTTCCACGCATTTGATGCCATTTGTAAAGTCATTTCTGGGAATGTGTGGGATGAACCAGTATGATGTCTTTCAATGGATACGCCCATCTTCAAAGTTAATCCTGTCTTCAAGCTTGATTTCCATAATGAAAGAATCCTGAAAACCTGTTTTTTTTCTTTCCTAAATGCGTTTTGGAAACTTTTCAGCATGTGTTCTGCATGCTGCTTGGTCAATTTCCCCCCCCCAGAAAGTATCCAATTATTTGGAAGGTCTGAGGCTATTCTCCTTTCCTCCAGTGATGGGGGAAAGGCCCTCTGTCAGCTTGCAATTCAGGGGTGAGATCAATTCATATCGGTTCAAGAGCTGTCGTAGAGATCATTCAAAAAAGCACTCCATTAAATTATCTTTCTGTGTTCTGTTAGGTAATAGTTTATGTGTTCGCATGCTTTCGCATCTAGAGGGCAAATTTGGATTATGCAAGCAATCCAGTCTTCTAATACGTTTGTTCCACAGTTCTGACCAAGGGAATATGAGTCAAGTTTAATCCCATCAAAATATTCTTTGCTGTTTCGCGAGCAGCATAGGCTGCCTTTTATGGTTATAGCTGATTCTCCCAATGGGAACTCTTAGGAACTGTATGTTGATTGGGTGGATTTGACAGCGTCTTCAGGTCTATGACCACCTGCCACGGCCAACTTGCTGCGGAACAACTCGCCGTAGGACGAGAGTTACACTAATGTCGAAGAAGTAGTGGAATAGAATCATTAAAGAAAGGATGCCAAAGGAGGGATAAAATGAAAATATGGATGACAACAATTACAATATGTTTCGAATTATTTTAATTGTTGAATTATTCCATGGTGAGTTGGCCATGGTGAGTTTGCTGCATCGAGTTGTCCCATATCAGTCGGCATATACATTTGGGGTAAATGTACCCCATAAACAACCATATGTAATAGTAGCATGTTTACGACCTCAGTTGCTAGTTGTTATTGTGCACTTATATTTTTTTTTGTCTCAGGGAATGCCACGGAAATGAAATCTGTTGTCTGTTACATGGAAGGCGAACACTGTACTTCTTTCAGTTTTGTGCTTTAGAAATTGTACTGCCTCATTTATCATCTCAAAGGATTATATTGAGCCAGCATGTAGTTAAATCATTTGACTTGCTGTTCAAAACATTACTAGCTTGTTTGAAGTATCAATGTTGTATTGAGCATTTTTATGAACTGTAGATGTAATAGCTTTTCTGCAGTATGGAAGAAAACCTGCTATTGTTGCCTTAGGTACATTTTGAAGACAGCAGCTGAAGGCATGTCTGAGGTGAGAAGAAAAGAAAACCATGAATGAGGTAGAAACGGATTGTATGTTATGAAGTAGATTGTTTTATATATATGTTAAAAAAAAAACTTCAGGATGGATGATGGATGCTGAATGTCTCTTAAGATCAGCTTGTAGGGAAACTGATGGAGAGAGTAATTAGGCATCTAAAACTTTTTTCAATGGTTTCTAATTGCCCAGCAGGGCTACCAACTCATGGCATTAATTCTCATTTGTGTAACTCGTGATTGGATGTCCTCCTTGTTCCTACCGATCCTGCTTTTCCTTGGAATATTTGTGGGAACTCCGAGCTTCAGAACATAGTTGGGAAATTGTGGTTTGAGAACACGTAGGGCTCCAGTTGGCTTGGACTGAGATGAAAATGGCGATCTTGATGGAGCAGTAAGATGGAGGAACGTGGGCAGGAAATGAGCAGTAATTGAAAGAATTTGTGGAAAGAGATACTGATCAGAAAACAAGCTCCATCTTTTTATCAGGTTGCAGGGGTGTGGAGAATAAGGACGAGGACACATCCATACATCATCCGGAGTCGTTCTTGGGTCATCTGAGGATGTGGCTCTAATCCTAGAACAAATGTTTATGTGGAGGTGAGATCTGAATAAAACAACAGGGTTTAGAAAGCTGGTGGCCAGCTGAATCTTGGGAACTGTCTCCGTTTTGAAATAATCACATCAGAGGTGGTGTATGAGATTTAGTTTGGTGGTTTTGATATATAATGAACCTTCCCAGCTTGTTTCCTAATATTGCAGTTGGAGGGAAAGTCATTGCTGCTGACAGATTCTCCCTTTCGAATGTGCAGTGCAATAAAACCTACATGGCAATCGCTGTCCGTCCCTTTCCTTGCTCTTTCTGTTTTCTCTGTTTCATTCATCGTGATTCTGGCATTTTGATAACCACGCTCTAAAAGGTCTCCGGCAGTACTATGAAAAGCGAACTTTAAGCCATTGCCCTGCAGAAGGAACTCAACAGAAGTGAAATCATTTCGTTTTGAGGCCGTGTTTTCTATATGTCTGCACAGACTTTGGTGTTGTAAGCAAGACATTAAAAGTGTCGTCTCTTGCTTTCCCCTGGGGCTGAGATTGTCACACAGAATAGCATTTGAATCCACACGAGAACTGAATTGAATTTTTATCTTGACCTGAATTGCCTCTTTCAAGGTTCAGGATTTATTTCGTCTGCCATTGTAACAAACTTAACGTTCTGCATTGGCTTGCACAATTTTTAGGAAAACAAAAATAAAAAGATTTTGTGATTTGAGTGCAGTTGTCTCATAGAGCGTCTCAACTGAGAGTTTTAGGAAATTTTTCAGATTGTGTGTGTGAAGCCTTAATTTCTTCAAACGAGAAAAAAAAATGGTACCCTATATTATTTCTGTACTAATATTTATTAAACTCATCATTTTTGTGGCTGTGTAATTTATTTAGAATGCTGGAAAGGCATCCATGGTTTTGAGGGAAAATGATGACCACATTAAAAATTTTGTACTTTACTAACTGCTTTTGGGGATAGAAGAGAAGAACTTTTATATATGGTGTAAGAGAAAAGAGGGTTATAGAATTGAAGAAGCTTTAGATTTAAGCATACAGACCTAAGAATTACAGCCTAAAAACTTATTTATGCTGAATCCTCTCATAGGTTTTCCCGTTACGTACGTGAGCATTGGGCCTGGCATTTTGAAAGACTCCAATGTGCAAAGAAAATGACTGGAATAAATAACCCTTTGATACATTCCCAGAAGGCGTCCTCCAAAATAAGGAATTTTTACAGAGAATGTAAGAAAATGGATTTTTTGTTCCAGATGTTGAAAAGCTCCTCCTTAGAACAGAACGGCCTTGTGCACTATTGCATTTATAGTTGCTGTTTGCAGCTTCGGGGCCTTTCGTAAATGAGCGTCATCGGCATGTCCCACCCGGTGGAGAACGGAAGATGGGCAAACTTTGCTTCTAGTGCTCTTGTGTAAGATGGACCGATGGACGGTCTAGATCAGGGGTGCCAAACTCGTCTCGTCACGGCATCGTCATGTGATATATCGTGATTTCCCCCCTTTGCTAAACTGGGCATGGCGATGGCCAGTGCATGACGCATCCGGCCCGTGGGCCGAGATTTTGATATTCCTGGTCTAGATAGCCCAAAATCTGACAGCCAAAACATTCCTCTATGATCTTAGGCCTGTTATAGGCTTCTGGTTATCAGAGCTGCCATAGACACACAACACTGCATACCTTTTCATTGCCTGAAAAGTTTTAGTGCCCTCATTGCACATTCTCAACACCAATTTCAACTGTGGGTTTCTAAGCATAGGTGCATTTGAAACAAACCTACTTTTTGATTCCTTTATTATCTTGATGTTTGAAAGACAACCTTGTATCCATTTTTGTTTGCAGCTACATTAGGTTAAATGTATATATTTATATATATATATACATATATGCTCCAGATGCCACCTTGTGGAATTAATACACAACTGCTGTAATAATAACACCCCCTCTTTTTAAAAAAAGGGAGGAAGTGAACATTGGAATGCTTTGTAGTAGCATTTGGAATGCAACTGCACCACATTAATTTTTCTAAGTGCCAATTAATTTGTTCGTGTATACCCAGATGTTGTACATATTGAGGCAGTAGTATAATATCTGGGTTTTTTTTAATGCATCCAAATGTTTTAGTGCATGAGACAATTGCATTTGTACTTCATGTTTTTTCAGTAAGGTTAGCCGAAGGAAATACCATTAACTGATTAAAATATTTCACATCCTGGCTGAGCTTGTGAAATAATGAGCTCTAGTGTCTTTATGATGAAGTAAATATCCTACCCGCTTAAAATTTCTGTACAGCATTGTACAAATGAAATATTTGGGGAGATTAGAACTGCTGTCCCCTTCACTATGGATCAGTTCATTGAAGATATTAGATCTTTTCTATGGAGGCAACCATAAATTATGCTTGTAATGATAGTCCTCGAGTTAACAACTGTTGCTTTAGTAACCGTTCAAAGTTGCAACGGCACTGAAAAAGAAGGGACCACGTGTCACACTTACAAACTTCGCAGCACCCCCCTTGATCATGTGATTTAACTTTAGAGACTTTGCAAGTAAGTCATATTTATGACAGTGATGGTGTCCTGGGGTCATGTGATCACATTTTGTGACATGACAAGCGAAGCCAATAGGGAAGTCACAATCATTTTTTTCTACCTTAATTGCAGTTCTTCCCTTAACAATTGTGGCAAGAAAGGTCGTAAAATCGGACTTACTTAACTGACTTAACTGTCTCATTTAGCAACAAAAATAATTGGGTTCAATTGTGGTCGTTAAATTGGAAGCTACCAGAAGATGCCCCTTGTTCTTCATTACAAAATGGAATAGGGGAAGGGAAACAGAGTAACAGATAATCAGATTTGGAAGGGACCTTGTAGGTCATCTAGTCCAACCCCCTGCCCAAGTAGGGGACCCTACACCATTTTTGACAAATGGCAGTCCAATCTCTTCTTGAAGGTCTCAAGTGATGACGGTCTCACAAGTTCCGAGGGCAACTTCTATTCCATGTGTTGATTGTTCTCAGAAAATTTCTCCTTATTTCCAGGTTGAACCTTTCCTTGTTCAGTTTCCATCCATTGTTCCTTGCCTGGCCTTTGGGTGCTTTGGAGAATAGCTTGACCCCTTCCTCCTCTCGGGCAGCCCCTCAAATATTGGAAGACTGCTCTCCTGTCTCCCCTAGTCCTTCTCTTCACTAGACTAGCCAAGCCCAGTTCCTGTTACGGTTCTTCATATGTTTTAGCCTCCAATCATCCTCTAATCACCCTGGTTGCTCTTCTCTGTTCTTTTGCTAGAGTCTCAACATCGTTTTTATAGTGTGGTGACCAAATTACTGCTATGAAGGCTATATAGAATATGCTAGAAAGTAACAACTGCACTCTCAGTATGCTCTAGCACTATTTGAGTCCAGCCTGATAACTCCTGTTAACCTCAGTTAATCTTTTCCCCATGACCAGTAGGAGGCAAGCAATACCAAATAATTTCCTTGCAAAAATTTTTCCCACGGAATAGGCTGTGTATTGACCTTCAACAGGAGGCGTTGGAAAAATTCATTTCTGGAAAAGCAATTTTTGTTTTCTTTTTAATTGAATTTATTCTAAGGAAATTTTGACTTTGCACCTTAGTTGGTCACTAAGATTTCAAGATCACAGCAACTCATTTTTTTTCTACATTTTGCAAGATAATATCACAAGCCCTCCATGAGCGACCAAGAATAAGCATATTTGAGAGGAGAAAGTTTTAGGAAGTAAACTGGAAATCCTTTGTTTGGGGTTGTGGCTTCACTGTCTCTTGGTTCACCTCTGACTACAGAATAGTAAAATTGGGACCTTGGAGGCCTTCTAGTCCAACCCCCTTCTCAAGCAGGAAACCCTATATACCACTTCAGACAAATGATTCTCCAACCTCTTCTTAAAAACCTCCAGTTGTTGGAGCACCCACAACTTCTGGAGACAATTTGTTCCACTGATTAATCAGGAAATTTCTCCTTAGTTCTAGTTCACTTCTTTCCTTGATTAGTTTCAATCCATTGCTGCTTGTTATGCCCTCAGGTGCTTTGGAGAATAACCCCTCTCTTCTCTGTGGCAGCCCCTTAGATATTGGAACACTGCTATCGTGTCACCCGCTAATCCTTTTCATTAAATGCTCTGGTCATCAGGTCCCATCCAAACAGATCACCTTGAGGGAATTTGGCTCTGGATTGAAGGAGGGGGAAAAATGGACTTTTAATAAAGCCATTTACCTGCCATCCAAATGCCTGGCAGGCAGAAGTAAAGGAGCAAAGCCAGTTGGCCGAAGTCCCTCCTGAAACAAGAATTTATTTTAACCAGAGCGGAGGCATTTGAAGGACCAGCCTTGGAAAACACCCACTGGCTGAGTTCATTCAACTCTCGAAAAGAGTCTGAGGTTCATCTTTAGCTCCTGAGCCACCATTTTTATCTGACCTCTGCTTATCCGTGACAAAACATCTACGCAACAATGTCTTGTACGGCAACGTAGACTTATTGGGTTGGTTCTTTTGTTGTGGCTCTCCTAGTCGGCGTGACTGATTTGCAGCGTTCCACTGTTGCTTCAACATCTTTTCTCAGAACATAAAAAGTGAGTAGATGTCAAGTCAGTCATTTGTGAGACTACTTCTCGTTTTCTTCTTCGTTGAGATGTATATCTTGCTTTTCCTCCAGGGATTATTTACAGTTTTTTCCATACAAAAATAGACCTGTAAGGGCAGCTGAGTTTAAAAAAAAAAAATCAGCTAAGGCTAAGAAATCATGATGTAACTGAAGGTTGACACTAATCCTGACCTAGTCCTACTCTATAGCCACTCTGGTATATCCCTCTCGCTCTTTGCTTAGATGTTCCTTAGTTTCTATCTTTTATAGCAGAGGTCTCCATAGCTGGCTGAGGAATTCTGGGAGTTGAAGTCCACAAGTCTTGAAGTTGCCAAGTTTGGATACCCTTGTTTTATAGGGACAAAACAAAGGTTTGAGGGTAGCTTGGTTCACATTTTGCCTATCCATGGCTGTTCTACCATGACTGATGGAAGAAAATGTGTTAGCTGGATGCACACATAATATTAAGACATAAACTCTGATTTAGTACACAGTGATGGGTTCCCTCGGTGGGCTAAGGTGTGAATCATGGTTGATAAATCCCAATGGGTGGATTCCACCTGATATGAAAGTGGATTCCACCTTCCTCTTCATCATCACCCAGCCTCACGATCCATCATGATTTCAAGTGATGGGTGAACTTAGACACTGGCCAAAGAGTAACGTGTCTTGTGTTGCAGTTCTGTTTAAACTATTTCAGTTTAAAGTGGATCTTTCTCAGCCCTACAAAGAATTCCATCAAAACTGAAGCCTTCTGAGTTAATCTTTTTCTTTCTGTCTCTTATTGCACATTGTAATAGTAATAATAATAATAATAATAATAATAATAATAATAATAATAATAA